CCATTTTCCCCTTAGTCGGCCCAACTGTGGCTGCCAAGGTTGTGCCGACCATTACCCCCATGGTCGGCCCAACTATGGCAGCCATGGTTGGCCCAACTGTGGCTGCCATAGTTGGACCGACCATTACCCCCCCTGGTCGGCCCAACTATGGCAGCCAAGGTTGGCCCAACTATGGCTGCCAAGGTTGTGCCGACCATAATCCCCCATAGTCGGCCCAACTATGGCTGCAATGGTCGGCCCAACTGTGACTGCCGACGTCGGCAGCCATAGTCGGCCCAACTTTGGGTGCAAATATTTACCATGGTCGGCCCAACTCTGGCGGCCGACCGAAATTCGCACCTGGGTAATTCTTTGGGAATCCTCCCATTTTCACCACAGAAATAAATTTTTTTACATTTTTTACCCGGCTAAAAAGGTTTGAACAAAATCGGTAAAGAACTTTTCGAGATATCCAATTTTGATCGAAAAATGCCAATATTTTGAGAAAATATATTCGTGGAAAATTTTTTTTTACTTGGCGTCGATTCTCTACCGCGAATCTGGATGATATAATTTTATTAAATTAAAAAAATCCTGTAATCTGTTTTCTTAATTTTCTAAGAATGAAATAAATTTTGGCCGCAGAAAAAAAATGACATGTTTTAAAAAAACTTTTTTTGTTTTTAATTATCAACAAGTATAATATGCAGCTAACATTTTATAGGAGGTTTCTTTGAAACCTCCTATGTACATGTCTCAAAGATAATTCTCTAATTTTCTGCTTCTTAGTTATCTTTAATTTGTTTATTTAAAGTTTGAGTAAAAAGATCCAATGAGGACATTATTATATCGAAACATGTAGTCAATAAATTTCTGACTTTGAAAACTTAACAACGAATTCGATAATTATTCTGAAAAAGACCTCGTAAAATTAAATTAAACATAAACATTTTTCGTTTTTTTATTTAATAAATTTGTAGTTTCTGAGCAGCTGTGAGTGAGGAAAACTGATAATTTTTGTGTAAAAATCGTAGAACTTTAATTTAACACATTTCACTAATGAAATTGTAACTTAGCAAAACTTTTTTATTGGTTACAAGGGTTTCTCCGTATTTTTCTTCCAATCTTTCGAGATTAAGTGTGCATTTCCAATTTTTTTTATTATATTATAATATTAACTGTGTTAAAAGTTCTATAATTTTTACACAAAAATGAACAGATTTCCTCACTGTACAGTGGTGCTACTGAAAAGTAAAACAGAATTGTTCTTCTTTTCTTTACCTTGAATTGGAGTAATCATTATTTTCATATTTTGTAGATCTGGTTTACTGGGGTAAATCATTTTACCCGCCAGTGTGGTTAAATGATACAAAATCTTCTTTTTAAAAATCAGAAGAAATTGACTTTTTTGATGACACAATGTTATTTGAGGGAAATATTTAGGTACCTAAATTTCCTATCAAATAAATCATTACAAAGGATTTTTTCTCGGATTTTTTTTATCTATTTACTGTCGCATTTCCCTTAAAAAAAAAAATTTTTTGAATCTTGAATGATATGGGAAAAAAATATGTCATTCGCTGTCGGATTCATTCATCGACGTTGATTTGGCGCACTTGCAGCAACGATTTTCAGTTACCTTAAACCTACAGTTTGTCAATTCCACAAAATATTGTCGTCGACAAAGTATCTTGTCCATTCGTACCGATAAAATGTTTTAACACCAATGTGGCATCATTTACAATTGGAATATGCAAACTGTAAAAGTATTCGGATGTATTTTTGGTAAATTTAAAAGAATTTTTAGGATTAACTTCTTTTTTGATAACCATTCGGAGAAATTAAAAAAATAGATACTTGCAGGGTCCAATGGACCTGCTTGCCCGCCCAAGGGTTAACAAGCGATAATTTCTAAGATAGATTAAATTGTTATCGTAAGATGAAAGGATGAAAAAAGTTTCAAGTATTTTTGAATACTGTGTTTTTGAAACAATTAATAGAGTAAAGGAACAAATTGTCAAGAAGATACAATTTGTTAAATTACAAAGGATAATTTTCAATATAATTGACGGAATATGGATCTGAAGTCTGAAGCATCAGAAAACACGAAAAACAAACTCTCGTTTAAATAATAACGAAGAAAATATTGAAAATATCAAAAAATATCCCTAACTCAGAGTCAGGATTAAAAAATATTAACTAAGAAATATTCTTTATTTTATGTTTCAAAAACAGAAAATTTTTTATCACAAACATTTTTAACATAAAAGTATTTTTCACAAAAAAATAACGTTAAAATGGAAACCAAGAAAGGAATATTAAAATATATAATCATCAATCGGTAAAATAATAAAATTAAAATTATGTTAACATTTTTGTTAGAATATTAACGATCTAACGTCAACGTCGGACAAAGTATGTGAAATCATAAACTAAACACAGTATAAAAATTCAAATTTAATATTAGGATCATAACGTTTTTCAAAATATTTCTAACTATTCCAATAGAAAAATTTCCAAAAATTTTTACAGTGTAATAAAGGAAAACAATATCACTGTCTTTATTACGATCAAGGGAGAGAATAAGAGAATTTTTAAAGTGTAATCAAACAATATAATATGAATCTATAAATATTTTCTTTAATATGATTATGTTCTAAAAAACATCAAAACGATTTTCTATATTACAGAATTTTTATATAACCGAAAATTCACTTCACAGAATTTTTATTTGTCAGAATTTTTAATTGCTCGAATTTTCTTTTAACATAATAGGCATTTTAAAAAAATTTTATTGGATAGAATTTTCTTTCAGATGAATTTTTATTTGTTCGAATTATTTGATATAATTTCCATATAATCTCTATTTTTCACACTACAGAATTTTTACTTAACCGAAAAATTATTTAACAAAATTTCTAATTAATATAATTTTTATTTGTCCGAAATTGCAAATGGCCAAACAAGCAATCGACAGAAAGATTTCGGCGCGACTTTTAAAATCAACCGACCACAATTTTATTGATAATTTTTGATTGGTTGATTTTAGAGGTCGTGCCGAAATCTTTCTGTCGATTATTTGTATCGATTTTTGTCGATTTTTCGATTAAGTAAAAATTCTGTAGTATGAAAAATCGGTTATATGGACATTATATCAAATATAAGATAATATCTAATTATCTAAAATTAATCTTTTATTATCTTATCTATTACTTTATTTTATTTAAGTTATCTTACTTTTTCATATTTCATAATTTAAATAAAGAATATTTTAAAAAATATGTCTTTTTCTTCAATTTTTAACGGTGAAACACAACTCCCCACTGTTTTTGAAAAGTCATAAAACAAGTATTTTCGAAAAACAAGCAAAATTTCTATTTCCGTTTTGAATTTTAATTAATCAATCATGCCAAAAGTTGTGTTTGTACGTGTACTAAAAGTTCTATATAATAGAATAGTCAAAAAAAATTTATGTAATAGTTCTGATCGAAAAACAAAACCTGGAGCACAAATCCCTTATCTCCCCTATATTTAAACTTTTTGATATACATACATAGTTGAATACTGTTTGACGATGCAATCATGTACATGTTTTAATTCAACATTATAGTTAATAAAGATTTAACATAATAAATGTTAAGAGATGAAATGTGATCGATATCATCTTCGTTATTATTTAAAATACGACCAAGTGATAAATTCTCAATTCATGCTGTCGTTTAATTCTCAAAGAAGAGAAAAAAACTTGTTCACTTTTCTACTACACATACCACTTTAATTTTTCATTTTGAAAAGTTTAGTAATAGAATTTATTTTAAGTCGGTAAAGTTATCTAAATTTTTTATTTCAAATAGGTACGTATCGTTAAAATCTTATTTATATATATCGTATTATTCTAAACTGATTTTATCGATATTATGTTTATACACATTTTTTAACTGGTTCTCGAAAAATGATATTATTTACAAGTTAGACACTTTTCCTCAATTTATTTATTCTTGTTTTAAATTTTACACTTGATTAAATAATATTGTTAGTCTCGTCATTTACATACTTGATTTTTCCGCAATGAAACAGTGGAGTTATCGAAAGAAAATTGAAAACGAATTAAGATGCAGACAATTCTGATTAAAATTACTTTTAATTGTCAATTTATTTTAATTAAATGATTAAAATAATTATTTATTGAAATTTATGTGTTATTTTACTTAATAAATATAACAAAGATGTAGAAAATCAGTTTAAAAATTCTTTCATCATGTTTATTTTTGATTATACACATTTCTCACTTCCTTTCAATAAGGTGTTCATCCTTTTTTTAAAATCGAAATTTGCAACATTTTAAAAAAAATGGTGCTAAAATTTGTTGCGTGCAAAATAAAAATCTATCTCTACGACTAAAAGATACCTAAGTCTCTGTGTTTTCATGTGCTATATAATATTTTAAGATACCTTATACAGTTTGATTTCTAGAGCATAAAAAAAATTACATCCACCTTGGGACCCTCTACCCTATTGAAAATATAAAATATATTTTACATTTACAAATAAACTATTTATAGACAATATTTCAGGTTATTACCAGGCCAGCTCGACAATTAAAACCGTCTGGGTAATTGGTTCCTTTACTTTATTAATGATTTCACTGGCTTCTATTTTTAGGGATTTTTGGGGATAAAGTAAACTCTGTAATATGTGAGCGAGCAAATAATCGCAGTCCATTCTTCATGTTATTCATTTTAAGCAATAATGAGAAGATTAGTTTATTTTAAATATTTACATATAGAAAAGTAATGATTGAGAGAAAATGTTTTGATCCCATTTATCTAAACGTTTTCCTCTCAAAACAAAAGTGAAATTAGGTTATTTAAAAGCCTATAATATTTCTAATGAAAAATCCAAGTTTTAAATAATTTTCCTTGTATTCCAACCAGTTGATAATGAGCAATAATTATTAACAAATGGAGCTAGCGTTTTTAGAAAGCGAAAGCAGTAGTGATGTGAAAATGAAAAAAAATTACCTTTACGTCGTAGAAATGTACAACTTTTCACATTCATCAGTATTTAAACTATTGTTATGAGAAACGTTGTTTATTAAAAGCATGGGAATCCATTAAAAATCGACTTGAAATTAAACTTGAGCTTATGAAAATCCAGAAAATATGAGCATATATATTTTTTTTCCTAAAAATGTTATGCTACGAACTTGAGAACACCATCGACCATCATGCCATCTTCTGATGATGCGCTCAATTATCCACATCACGTGACCATTGTGTATTCTATACAAATAAATATACAATTAAATATGAGTAGATTCGTGAAAACAAAAATGTCATATTATTACTTAAAAAGTTGAAGGAACTTGTTTTACGAACTTGTACATACAGAAATACCTTTAGTAGAATGATATTGAAAGAAATTTGTTTTATTCTTTTCTACATTATGTTAAAAACTCTGCTTTACCTCCTCAGTTTTGAGCAGTGATGACATGATTCAACTAACAAGGTCTAGCCTTAAGACAGACTGAAATGGAAACTACTCTGCGCTGGTTATAACAGCAACCATCTTGACTGAGTCAGCTGGCTGGTTTATGTGGACGGTCATTGGTTGTTGTGATTAACGCGCCAGTTTTCTAAATATTTCAAATAATGTGACAATTATTATGAATATATTATTAGAAATTTAAGTTATATAATTTAAATATTTATAAATAATATATTATATAGGTAAGAATACATCAAATATCTTGAATTGCACATGTAGTCTTCGAATTAATTTGCAACTTGTCGAAATTAAAGTATTGGGATTGTTTAAACTGCAATACGCCATCTAGTGTTTACCTACTTTGGACAACTATTTTCCTTTTGGCCGTTTCCGAATTGGGATTTTTGTCGCACTTTTGTTAAAGTGTATACTCGGGAAGTATGCAGTGTCCTTGTTTGCGCACGGAAAAATAAGGACACTGCATACTTCCCGAGTATACACTTTATCAAAAGTGCGCTAAAAATCCCAATTCGGAAACGGCCCATTTGTCATAACTCTCATCAAATACCTGTAACGAGCGACTATATTCTCGCTCGAATAACTTTTCGATATCTCGAATTAACGATACTTACGCGCTAAATAATAAATATTCAAAATATTAAATAATTAATATTTTGTATTCTAGAATTTATTCTCACATAAATTTAGCAATTGAGGAAACTATAAAAAGTTAACTTAATTGTAAAATAATATCTTCACGCTTTAAGTATTTTCAAGTCTTATTCTCAAATCAAAGAATATAAACAGTTCTAAGAAAAGTCATAAATTAAGTAAAATAGCAAAAGGAAATATGATTCTAACTTTCCTTTAATCCCAACCATGAAATAAAAACCCTTAAAGATCATAAAAAATCCACTTGAAAAAGTTGTGGTCCTTTCTCTACAGGACACCAAACACATGTTGACCAGACACACATGTAGACTCGCTAAATCGAGAAAAGTCACGTATTGATCAAACAAAGAATAAAATATTTGTAAAGAAATATTTTATATCAACTAGATTTTTACATTAAAAATATAAATTAAAAATCATCATCTTCTCTATAAAACATTATTAAATATATAATCGTGGTGTGTGTGTGTGTGTGTGTTATTTACACAATAACAATATAATAATTAATTATTACATTAATACGTATGAGTATGTTATATTGTTAATTATAATATTTATAATATAATAAATATTATGTATAAGATATACCTTGAAATATATAATTAGTAAAGTGTATATAGTAAATAAGATACGTAGTGTTGTGCAGTGCAGTGTTGCTGGAAACAGCATAGAATAAGAAAATATAAAGAGCATGCGCAAAGAAGCCACATGGACTCACAGCTGAGCGCTTCTCCACTACTTGTACTTTATGCTTTACGTCAGATCTTATCTTGCCTTCGACTTGTCGAGTTCGCTCCAAGTCAACTTTGTATTTGTCTCTTTCTATATTTAATAAAAGCTTGGGTTTTAATCTAGAAGTCGGAACAATTAATAATTGGTTAATTCGTTATCTAATTATTATTGTTCGTCTTCAAGAGGATTTTCCCTCCGTTTAACGGAAATTAATTGTGTAATTATTTAAACTTTCCCGGTTCATCTTAATGATTAACACTAAGGCTGAATCCACAAAATAACCAAGTGAAATTGCGCTTGCGCAATTAAATATACAACTTGGCTCGTAACATACCGCATGCTGCTCTAGTAAAATTAGTGACTTTATTGTTAAGGCCTAAGCAGAATAGCTTCGCGAACGTGAAACATGAGTTAGAAAAGGACAGAGATATATTTGTATCCTTTTCTATCTCATGCATCTCGTTCGCGAACCTATTGTGCGTTGGCCTTTAAAATTAAAAGTTACTATAAAGTTACTAAATTTTCACTAGAGTAGGGTGCAGTAGTTTAAGGCTGCAGTCCCATGGCAGCGTTTTGCGTTGCGTTTTGTCACTAGACCCTGAGTGTAAACATAGCAAACATATATCTGCATCTCTTTTACACTCATGGTCTAGTGACAAAACGCAACGCAAAACGCTGCCATGGGACTGCAGCCTAAGAGATTTATGACAAATGGCGAGTGGGGATTTTGGCTCTAATCAGCTGATTATCAAATATTTAGGCTTAAAGCGACCCCACCATGGATTTGTTCCACGTTTGCCATTTAAACTCCAAGTTTGTGTTTGTTTAAACCACGTGACACGTCAATTCTTTGTATTATCAGCGAAATTTTAAACATTTATGTAGAAGTGAAGTAAAAACATTTATTTAAAATATGGAGACTTTATATCATCAAACTAATAAAGTAGTTCAGGAAACACAACATTTGTTTTTACAATTAGAAAGAAATTCGCTGAATGGAAACACTCAGGAAGTGGAAAATGATATTGAAGCAAAGATTAACCTTATTAATAGGTAATTGTTTTTAATTATGTCAGCTAAGTATAATACATAATAGCAAAAAATTATTATCTATCATAATTAGTTCATTAACCTATTCCTTTCGTAAATTTAAAGCATATTCAAAGATCTTTTTATTGAGAAAGAAAAATGGAACTATTATTTTATTATACTGAAAATATGACAATTCATTTGTTTACTACATTAAAAATGGTACTAGATACAAAATTATGTTAATCAAAATTGAAAATTGAATAAATCATTTTAAATTAAGACATGTATAATAATTCCAATTTTTTGTGCATATATAAATCAGGCTTGAATATTTATTTTACTATAACTACTAGTATATGAAACTTAGTAATTTCTGCACCTAGAAGTTATTATAAGCAATCACAAATAATACAACATATGGTCCGATATTGCGAATATTCCTGCAACATTTATGTCCACCTGGGGACAATATTGTTTTAGTATTACTTAAAAGTTCTATCATTTAAAGTTTCTCTACAGAAATCTGTTCACTCATGAAAATGGATCAAATAACTCGGCCGACGCTCAGACGATCGCTCTAATGGTAGTCAAGTCCGTTTAAAAATGAAAATAAAAGTTGGAAATTAAATTTTTTTAAACGTACTACCATGTAGAAAACAGAAATGCATAACTTAATAATAATGAAGAAAACTTGAATTTTTTTCTTTCTCTATTTCATTGAAATTTATAGGGGAGAACGAAAAAAATAAAAGTTAAGGATTCTAATTCTCATCAATGAAATTTGATTATTTTCAACCCTCTAAAACCTGAAATAAAAAAAAACAGTATTTATCATTGTTTTGTCACAGATTTTTCGAGAATCTCGAAATATCAAGTAAATTGCCATTTCCTCAACTCGGAAGCAATTTTTCTCGTTTGATAATTATTTATTTCAATGCTAGAAGCCTTTAAAAAAAAGGAAAATTGCTTCTGAGGCGAGGAAATAGCAATTTACTTGAAAATTCGAGATTTTCGGTAAATCCGTGATAAAACAATTATAAATAGGGGAGTGCTGTTTGGCGCAGAGGTTGCTTGGCGCACTTGAGTTTATTCAAAAGTGTTAAGTTAAATTAATTTTTCACTTCATTCAAGTTAAAGTACTTGATGAACTGTAAGTTTGTACAAAATTTCATTAATATTCATAAATTATTGTGGAGCATAGATTTTGGAACTGATTTTGGAACTTCAAATTAATTTTTTAACTTCTTCATTTTTTTGTGATATCTCTTTAAAAAATGAATTTTAGAAGAGCTCAAATATTAAGTTTTGAGTTCTATATATTTGTTATTAAGAAACAAAAAAAAATTTTGATTTAGGTATATTAACAGTTTTTATGAAAAAATTAATAAATATTTGAAAAGTACATTCGAGGTTAGGTGGCGCGGTTATCTGAAAATTTCCTTAAATATTAATAAAATGATTAAATGCAGTTGATTATATGAAATTTACACATTAATAAGCACCAATAACAATCCTTTTCAAAAAATTTAACCGAATAATGAGTTTTTAAATATTCACAGCGTAATTACCCAAAAAAAATATATATTTTTTGATAATTTTACGATTGCATAGAAAATGCTTTTAATTTAAATGAAATTTTCTAATTTTTAAAATAATTTTATTGTAAAATTACAGTACAAGATTTATTTTGTTAAATCTTATATTGTTTAAACTTTAAATCACATAATTTAATTAATTTCACTCCTGCGCCACGCAACCCCGGGCTGGGGTCGCTTGGCGCGCTTTACACATCTTCAAATAAAGTGGTATAAAAACAAAAGTATTAAATGTATTGCAATTTTATTTTTTTTAAATTAAAGCTGAGATGTTACAACAAGTTTTCTATACAATAACTTTTTTAAAAAAGCAAAAAAGAGTGAGTTACACAACAAAGAGTAAAAAGTGCGCCAACCCTGTTGAAAATTCCTATGTGAGAACACATATGGGATCCCATGCAGGATCTCTTGTGAGTTCTTATGTGGGTTCCCATACAGGTTCACACATAAGATCCTGTATGAAAAGGTTCCTGGGATGAACTTGCGTGAGATCAAGCGCACGATCTTATGTCTCTGTAAAAGCAATAACACAGGATCCCATGAGGTTTCCTGTGTAGGTTCCTATATGAACAACACGATAAATAGGAACACACATGGGATCTTATCCGAGATCTTGTATGAGTTCTTACATAGGTTCTCACATATAAGAAGATTAATAGCAGCTTAATAAGATTTCATATAAAATCTGAGAACCTATGTAAGAACTCATACAAGATCTCGGATAAGATCCCATGTGTGTTCCTATTTATCGTGTTGTTCATATAGGAACCTACACAGGAAACCTCATGGGATCCTGTGTTATTGCTTTTACAGAGACATAAGATCGTGCGCTTGAGAAGATTAATAGCAGCTTAATAAGATTTTATATGAAATCTTATTAAGCTGCTATTAATCTTCTTATATGTGAGAACCTATGTAAGAACTCATACAAGATCTCGGATAAGATCCCATGTGTGTTCCTATTTATCGTGTTGTTCATATAGGAACCTACACAGGAAACCTCATGGGATCCTGTGTTATTGCTTTTACAGAGACATAAGATCGTGCGCTTGATCTCACGCAAGTTCATCCCAGGAACCTTTTCATACAGGATCTTATGTGTGAACCTGTATGGGAACCCACATAAGAACTCACAAGAGATCCTGGATGGGATCCCATATGTGTTCTCACATAGGAATTTTCAACAGGGAAGTAACCCCGGTCTCCCCTACTGTTTTTTTTATTTCAGGTTTTGGAGGGTTGAAAATAATCAAATTTCATTGATGAGAATTAGAATCCTTAACTTTTATTTTTTTCGTTGAATCATCGTTGGTAACTTCAGTTTCATTTATCTGAGCACTATGTGAAAAAACACTGCAATGATTTGTCCCGTTTTGTAACAAACTAATTTTTTTACTTGTTTCTCAAGCAAAGCTAACGAGCTTAAAAAATATTTACAACATGTAGAAATTCAACTTTAGTCCTCTACTTTATGTTGCAAAAGGAATTTTTGTAAAATAATTGAATCGAAAAAAATTATGAGGTCATTTGCAAATTTGTCCTAGACCCGGTTATGCAGCACCCCAAAAAATATATTTTTTTTTGTAGTTTTATGATCAAATATCGACTTTATTTTGATATTTAAGTAATTTAAAAAGCATCTGATTAAATGTTACTAATATTAAAGTAGTTTTGTATTTCACATTATTGGCACTATTAAAGGTCTAAGTAGAATAGCTTCGCCAAAGTCGTCAACGAACAAAACACATATAAAATATAATATATGTATAAAATCTGTAAATATTAAAGCCATTTTTAATAATTAAATAATATAAAAATTTACTTTTATATTTGTATTTCTTCGTATTTTTACATTTTTAAGTAATTTTTGGAAGTGCACAACCGAGGTCAAATTTTATTTGGTCCGAAAACACTACCTTTTGAAATTCTTTCATAATTCTTCTGTTTTAAAATAAAAATAACCTAGTTTCTTAAAACAAAGTTAGGTATTTACTCTAGCTTTAAAATGGAACCTCAACAATCAAAATTGGATAATACAATTAAAAGTTATAGATAAAAAACGAAACCTGCTGTACAACCGGGGACACTCCCCTATATATTTTATTTATATATTTGATATGAAATGCATTCATACTTCATAGAAAACTTCTTTATATATTAATAAACAAATCTCTCACTGGAAGTTCTTTCAATTTAAAAGTTCCCCGCATACTTTTTGTCGCTGAAGTTGAGAAACCATAAATATTGACACGTCTCAATTTTTATTAAAAAATAATTAAACAATTCACTTTGTTTTAATTTGTAATATTTTTAATATAGGACGATTTATGTTTTAAATTTTAATGAAATTGAGAAAGTCATTAAAAATAATACTTAATCCTACAAAAAATTCCAAAGACAAAAAAATTGCGCTTTTCTGTTCTTTACATGGTAGTACGTTTAAAAAAATTTAATTTCTAATTTTTTTTTTCACTTTTGAACGGACTTGACTACCATTAGAGCGATTGTCTGAGCGTTGGGCAAGTTATTTGATCCGGAGCCACAGTTTTCTATAAGTATGTAGAAAGAACTTTTTCTTGTTACTCTTCGTTTAAATTGAAATACTTCAATTTTAATTACTATAAACAAACTCAAGTACTATAATGTTTAATTTATTTTATACATTATATATAAATAATTATTATTTTCTACATTTTTTGTTATAAAAATAAACACTCTATTTTGTCTGCTTTAAAAATATTCAACTTTGTGAAGTCTGACATCGTATATATATATTGAAAAATAATATTTTATAATTTTTTTATGCAGAAATTGCGAACGACTTGAAATTTTATGCATGAAAGGTCCTATTTCTCAAAGGCAGAATGCCAAAATGAGGGTGGACCAGTTAAAATACGACAGTCGCCACCTGACAGCTGCATTAAGTTCATGGAGAAACCAAATATTACGTCGACAACAAGAGGAAGAAGAAAGGGAGGCACTATTGTCACGAAAATTCAAACCAAACGATCATATCGATATAATGATAGATCACAATTCACAACACAACAATAGTTTAAATAATGCTACACGTGGTGTGGATGATCTCATTTCTCATGGCTCCGGTATTTTAGAGAATTTGAGGACTCAGAGAATGACATTGAAGGGAGCACATAAAAGGTTAATAGACATTGGAAATACTTTAGGTTTATCAAATACAACAATGAGATTGATAGAACAAAGAGCTCGGCAAGATGGCTTTATCTTGATCGGCGGTATGCTCTTTACAGTTCTTGTGATAGTTTTGGTTATAGTCTATCTCGCGTAGGATAGGAGACATGGTTTTTTATACTCTATGTATATTGTCCGTTACATTTTCAAAAGTTTCTAATATATATGCTGCTATTTAATTGTAATTAATTTATTTATTATTTTTGTACATAGTTGACAAATTCCATTTTACTTATATTTAGGTTTTTTGTATAGAAAAATGCATTAAATTACAGAATATTACACATTAATGTTAATGTTTTAATTTTTCACTATTTGTTATCTTGTAAAAAAAAACTTATTTCTCAATAAATATTGTAATAAGAGAAATTGACGCATTAATTACTTTAAGAGTAGCAAGATCATAGAACCCTTAAACACAAAAATCTCCAAATTTTTTAACACGATAGTTCTCAAGATTTAAACTTCCTTTTTCAAACATTTTTTTATTTTCGTAAGCTTAAGGGAGGATATCAATGTGAGTTCCTTTAAAAAAGCACATTTTCAAGAATATTTTTTTTACCGAAGATGTCCTTGCTATCGCCCGTACCTCGATTTTTAAATTTCACCCAAAATTAATAAAATGGAGGCAATTTTTGTAAAAGTGAACAAAAATTACCCTTTTCTGTCAATAAGAGGTCAAAATAATTAGTTAAAATTGAAAATACATTGAAAACTACTTCTATATCGAAAATAAAAAAAACTATAGAGACCTGTGTTTTCGTCTATTTTTAAATATTTTATTGGTTTTTATATATTTGAAATATTTTTAATTTTTTTTAATAGGCTCACAAAGAAGGAGTATTTTTCAATCACCTTATAATTAAGATAGATTTAATTCCGCACTAAATTGTAAGTCATACACATTTTTAAGTCGATTATAACCAAATAAAGATTATATGTTGATAAAAATGAAATTTATTTTGGTCCAAGAAATAATACTACAAATAGATACATTTTTATGTACATAAATAAAATTTTAAAACTTCTAATTCAAATGCAGGGCTCAGAGTTTTTTTGACTTTCTTTTAAATTCGATTTGTCTAACATCTGACAATGAGAGAATAACTTTGTTAAATTTGAGTAGCATTTTTATGTTTTATACATATAATAAAGCATATTTTGGTTTAAATTTTCTTCTTTTATATAAAATTAATAATCAAAAGGAGGTTCCGGACCATATTAGTTACAAACTCCGCAAAATTTCAAATTGCGAATATTATTTAAAGAAAAAATATTTCTGCATCAATTTTATTATTTTTCAGTACAGAATTAAGAATTTTAAACTTTTGGTAAGTGTCAGTACCGAATATTAAATACTCTTTGAATAATAACGTTTTTTAAAAAGTACGAAATTTAAGATTAAAAAATAGATTCCAAACTTCCTACTTCTGATTATTAATTTCATACAAAAAAAAAGAAAAATTAAGTCATAATATTATGATTAATGAACTAAGAAAGTGTTCAATTTTAACATATTTCAAAATTTGATTTTTTTAAAAATTTCATTAATTTTCATAAATCAGACTGGATAAACTTTTTTTCTAAAAAAAGGCTAAATGTCAATCCGAGGCCTGCAAATGTTAAGATAACTAATTAATGAGAAAAATCTAAGTTATTAATATCATAAATATCTTACATAAAATAACCAATAGATCCAAATAGAAATTCAACACAAAGTTTTCTACGTGTGTGACAAGTTAAACAAATATGACAAGTAGAAAATCTACTTGGTACCTACTATTAAGAATCTGCAAAAACTTTAATATATCAATCATTTGCCCCCATCAATCTTGACCATTATGGGAACCATATACAAATGCAGAAGCAATCGATGTATGAAGTTAATAATAATAATAATAATAATAGTGACAAGAACTTTATGCTTTTCATAAAAACGATTCATGCTCTCAAAAGAATTGTAGTTAAACTGCAATTTACAGCCTTTTAAGAATTTTTGAAATTAGCAATAATTTTTTTCAAGATTCACCTTTAATTCATAATATAATACTTTTAAATCAGAATTTTTTTATATCAAGAAATCATGATTTTTATAGATATACAATCCAATTATTTACATATTTTTCCATAACTATTCTTCGAAAATTTAAGTATATATTTTCAAAAAATTTAATACAATTCCTTAATAAATTCAATTATTTAAGGGTCAAAGATAAAAATACATATTTAACCTAAAAATAAAGTACATTTTTAAATGAGTTATAATTTCTGAAAATAATGAAAAAAAACAACGCGAAACTTTTAGTGCGTGTAAATTATGATGTGATTTAAATATTCTAAAAGTGACAATTTTTTTTACTCTTTATTAACAGAGACATTCAGTGGTGAAAATCGCGAAAATTCAAAAAGTGTTTGTTTTAAACATAGAATCTTATTAACTGTTCCAGAGAAAAAGTGTGACAAACTTAAAGTGTGCCACTTTCGGTAGCAATTTGTTAATAGATTATTTGTAAAAAAAATTGTTTTCTACTCTTTAATATGTATATTTTATTATAAAAAAATTGTAACTAATAAATATTTTTTTTACTATAAAAAAAAACTTTGAAAAAACCTAAAAATCACCATAATCTCCCCTTAAACTTATATTAAAAGAGACATATTAGAAATTTTAACATTATTCTTTTTATTTTGTATTATAGATAGCTTCGATTCATTTCTGAAGATATCAAATTTTTTAAAATTGGTACGCAACGACCTTAGTCGAAACATAATGGTTTGACTCTTAAAAATTAAAAAAAAATTTAAGATATTAAAAACTTTAATTGCATCTCTTCGAAATATCAAATCATTTTTTAAAATCTGAATTAAATTCTTTTAGAAATTTGTATACAGTTTTTCATGTATTCAAATAATAAAATTTTCAAGTTATTTAATTTTTAATTAAATATATTCTAAAACTTAATTATTGTATCCCCTGGAATACAATTTTTCTAAATAAAATATTAAAAAATTCAATATTTAGAAAAATACTTGAATATTATGAGAATTATGCAAATATTTTAGTTAATTAATACTTTTTAATACATATTTTAAAACTACAAAACATTTTTTTTTTGAAATTTATGCTCGTATACTCAAGCATAAAGTTCCTGTCTCTACTTAAAAAACACCAAAGAGTTTTTCACCGTTGCTTATACTTTCTACACTAAATTGTTCTCCTTGCCGGATGTGACGTTACCGAATCAGTATATTTTCGCACTCTTTCTACTTATGGATGGTGTAAAAAATGCACTCATTTCTAGGGAAACAAAACAATGTTTAGTTTCTTTCTTCGTTTTAATAACTGTTTTCTATAAGAAGGTAGAATTTTTATGAAATTAACATATATCATTCCAACATTTTAAATCGTCAGTAGTAGTATTATAGATTAGAATTTAAAAATGCATTAAAAATTGAAACCAACAATTTACTTAGATCCACTGATTTTTATGTAACACTTTTATTGAGCCACTCCATAACTCATACGTAGAAAAATTAATACATTACGATATGCTCTTTTCATTCCCATTTCTCTGATTTAAGAATATTTTTGGAAATATATATACTCAAGTAAAACTATTAATAATAATAGGTTCCAGTATCTATGTATTATCAAGTGCTTTGGGATTCGAGATTCAATTGCGCCAATCGAGTGTGTTCCTCCTGATTATCAGAATCAACAGAAACACTTGAGTCAGACTTAATCTCTTCTAAAATACGCTTAATTTGATTTTGTAATTGTCCTGCAATTTTGCGAACACCAGTATGATTCTGTTTTACGTCCTTAACACATTGTAACATTCCCGTCCAAGGCGCAGCACTTGTATGAGCTAAATACAATTCTTTCCAAAGTTGGATACTGATTGGAGCAATGCTCGGCCAAATTACTCCGGCGTTTGGTTCATAAAGTGGATTTAACCATTTTTCTAGAATGTCTGGTTGATTTATGTGAGACCAAAAGCTACAAGTACGTTCCGAAAGTCTTAAACGATATCTTTCTGCTTCAGAATCACCTAATAATTCAATCCAATCAGTTAAAATAAAGTATTGTCATTCTCATATAAATATAAATAAAAACTCTTACCAAGAAAAGTGCCATAATTAGAATAATAAGCGTTCTTAAAAAGTTCTACGAGTAGATCAGTCGTGTATTCAAAACTAAATTGAAATTGATAGTGAAGTTGATAAAGGCAATCGAGAAAGAGTAGAAATGTTGGCGCGTGTTGTACATTTTGTCCATGAGAATTAAAATAGGCTCCATGACGAGTGCGAGTATAAAATTGATGACCCGCTTGAAGCCACTCTCGTTCGATTAAAGCTTCCAAACCTCTTACGGTCCGACAGTCCGGATTTAATATCACTTGTGTTAAACTTGTTACAACTAATGTGGAATCACGTCCACTACTGCCTGTAAAAATAAAGAAATAATTCTAACTTAATTACTTTTAAAATTAAACGAATCTACTTAAATTTTTCAAGTAATTCTACAGGGATTCCACGCGTAACGCACAAAATTGATTTCGCTCATAGTTTTTGGGCGTATTCTATCTAGAAAAATAATAAGAACACTCACAATCGTTAATTTCGTTAAAAATTACATTTTTCAAAAAGAAGACTGAAAAATCCATTTTTACTTGAAAAAATGTAAATTTTGGTGAATAAAAAAAAATTGAAAAGTACTAGTCGATTTCAAAGAATCAAATGCCGTAGGAATTTTTGGGCTATCTCCAGATATATGTGCAGTAGATTCAAAAACTGTTTTTTTTTTAAATTCATAACTCAAAAATACCTATTTCGATTTGGCTCAAATTTCCAGAAAAAATAGTTGAAATGGTAAATTCATCGAAATTGTTATATCTGAAATCTGGGTATTTTAAGTTTTTAACCATGTTTTTGCAAAATAGTGTGATAATTCGATTTTTTCAATGTTTCCTTACTTTTTTAATCTTTTGTGCGCATGCGCAGCTATATTGAAAAAATATGAGCACGAAATCAAAATCCTCGGAAAATTTCCAATTTTTGGAGGTAGAATACGCCTAAAAACTATGAGTGAAATCGACGACTTGTCACCGACAATTGTGTGTTTTACCCGTGGAATGCCTCTCTAATTAAAAATGTTAAATCTCAATCTTTCTAATCTTTTGCCTTTTATGTTCGAGTTTTTAATTTTGTTGTAGTGTGTTCCAGAAAGGACTGGTACACTTCGATTAATTTTGAATATTAAATTTAATTTAGAAGAAATTTAATAGTCTTTGGTCTCCTTTTGAATAAATAATAAGTAACTGTAAAATTGCCTTTCAGTTTCGCTCTTTAAGTACAATTAAACTATTTAATCCCATGATAATTACAAGATTTAATTGCTTACCGTGGACCAAAACTGCCGCAATTTCGTGGTGAAGGCACTGCGCAGCTACACAGGCGGCATTTAGAGCACTTTGAATTCCTGATAGCCAAGAGCTGTTGTCTAATCGAGAAAGCCACTGAGAAGTAGAACATCCAGTATCTGTGCACGCTTCGATTAATTTACTTAAACTATCCATTAAATCACTTGGTCGTTGAACAGGTTTGTGGACTTTCCGCCACTGTGCATAGGCAGCATCAATTTCAGTTCCTCCACCTCTAGCCCTTGCACTTTGGGCTTGGGTAGAAGACCTTGTGTCTACTATATACCTATGGGAAAACATTAGACAAAGCGAAAAGTTACATTTTTTTTACTACAACATGAAAAATAAAAATTAATTTCATGAGTAAGAATTTCTGAAACGTGCCACCTAAAACTGAAAAAATTTATTTTTTGTTGAAATGTTATTTTTCTTATAGTGTTTTATATGCACAATCACCCGCTAAAACGATTTTGTAAAAAATATTAAATTGTTAATAACAAAAAATTTTCTTTTACAAAATCCTTTTAGGGCGTGATTGTGCATATAAAACACTATAGGAAAAATAACATTTCAACAAAAAATAATTTTTTTCAGTTTTAGGTGGCACGTTTCAGAAATGCTTACTCCCATACAAAAAACTCATTCTGTAAAAGTATGCAGTAAAAACATCTGCATTTTTTTTTGCAAAAGTACAATTCTAAAAATTCAATATCAATTGAAAGAACCCACGGAACCAAAAAAGAAAATTAGATTACCCGCGTCTGCCAGGACCCAAAACTGCATTCAAAAGTCTTTCATCTTCTTTACACCTTTTCCCACTAGCTCCACACATTGGTTGACCACTTCTGATTAAAATACTCTACAATATATTATTAAGTATATACAAAATATAAAATACATCTACTTTTTATCAAGTGGGATAAAAGAAATTAGAAAAATATTTAAACATTACCCCTCCATCGTGTCTGTAGCAAAGAACAGGAAATCTGCCACCATCTCTAAAATTGGCAGACGCAATAATAACATTGTCTTCTACATGACGAGGTACAATAACTGACGATGGATATGAGCTACAAACATTGTAATCTCGATTTAAATAGCTGATACGCCATTCATCGGCGTGAGCGGCTAACAATCTAGACCATTCGGAAACGGGCACAAAAGCAGTCCATCCATCTTCAACTTGTACCTTTGAATTATTAATCATTTGCGGTCTATAGAAAAAAGGATATTGCGATGTTTGTCCTGAAATTGAAAATACTCTTCTTCATAAAACTGCAAATTTTTGGGTCTAATTTTAGACCTATAGAAATTACGATTTTAACAATTAAACTCTTTTTTTTAAATCTAATTTGACTTTAAAAAGTTTCTGATTGAGCAATTCCACATAAACTAATCCTATTTATTTAATTATAAGTGTTTACTAACCAATTTTAAAACTCGTGAACAATCCTCTTAATAATTTTTTTTTTCAAAAATGAAAATTTAACCACTTAAACCATCCTAAATTTTAAGAACAATTTAAAAACTCTTTAAAAAAAATTTATATTGTATTCGCAAAATCTAAGATATATATTTTTTTCAATTGTAAAAAACGTTTTTTGGTATTTTATGCGATTCATGTAAAAGAAAATATTTAGTGTATTATTACAATTGCAAAGAGTTTTAAAAATTACTTGAATCAATTCACGTGGCATTACTTAATTGAGTTTTAATTCAAATGACTAATATTACCTAATAATAGAAGTTTTTCTAAAGATTGTACTACGTTGTTTAAGTCATCACTAGAACCTATTTCCAATTGAAAGATGCGAAAATCTTTGCATTTAAAAATAATACTTCCTCCCCCTATTTGATTGTATGTTTTCTTTTCCATTACATCGATGTTCCGGTAGAGTAACTATTGGGCATAATTATAAAACAATTAATTTAAAGGAGAAAGAAAAGAAAAATCTTTTTGATTTTTAATTGATTCTATCACTTTAATGATTATTGTTGATAATAATAATAAGTTATTTCTCTATTATTATGTTTTAATGTCTTCCATTTATTACAAGACTGTTAAATTTATTTTTTTAAACTAGATTAATTATCTATATGTAAATAATAAATTCGGTAAATTGTAGTGATACTGGTGCAAAATAAGTGTACAAACTTTTAATTCGTAATTTTTAATATTTTTGCAGATAATTTACAATAACAAATTTTAACAATATTTTTTAGCTTTACTTATAACTTTTTCTCTACTAAAAATAGAGAAAAATGATAAGAATATTTTTTTACGCAAAAAACCTTAAATTTTTAGATAAAATTTTTTTTTAAATATTAATTTTTAAACAATTTGTTTATAATTTTTAAACATGTTTTTCCTCTTTTTGAAGCGCGAAAAAATTATGAATATTATTAAACTAATAGTTAAATTTTTGAGATGGCAATATTTTGGATTGGAATTTTTAAAATTATTCTAATTTTATTTCTTCGAAAAATATTATATTTTTTATTGACTTTTATTAGTTAATTAATTAATATCTCGAAAACAAAAAATAATGCTATTTCAAAAATTTCACTATCGATTTATTATGATTTAAACAATATTCATGATTTTTTTCGCGCTTCAAAAAGAGGGAGAACATGTTTAAGGGGACATTCCAGTAACTTATTCAAGAATATGAAAAAATTATTTTTTTTTCACTTGTAGTCCAAGATGGCGGCGATGTACAACATTTTCAAAAAATGTTCATTTTTTCATGGGGGGAACGATTCCAAGATTTCTACAACAGATAGAGACATAAAATAAAAAGTATTTTCTTCGTTAGATATTTCTCTATGGATGGAACTTCAAAAAAAGTGGAATTTTCGTCCTCTTCTTTTTTTTATGGTAAGTTTTTCTCAAAACTTGAAAAAAACACATGTTTTTATTCAGAATTTCTGTTATAGAAAAAAGAGGAAAAAGAAAATTATAAATAAATTTTATTTTTTAAACAAATTGTTAAAAAAGTAATATTTAAAAAAAAAATTTATCTAAAAGTTTAAGGTCTTTTGCGTAAAAAACATTTTTCTTTATTTTAAGTAGAAAAAAAGTTACAAGTAAAGCAAAAAAATAATTGTTAAAATTTGTTATTGTAAATATCTGCAAAGATATTAAAAATGTCAAATTCAAAAGTACAATAATTTAGCACCAGTATCACTACAATTTACCGAATTTTAAGAAAAATCAAAGATTTGGTTAATTTTAAGTTCTAAATCGGGGCGCATGATTATCCTATAAAATCATTAGTTAAAATTTTCATTTTAAAGAATTTTATTACATATAATTATTTTTTAGACGAATTTTTTTTTCCAATTAACATTTGACAGAATTACTTTTTAAACAAATTTTTACTTAACATAATTCTTATATATCGAATTTTTATTTGGCAGAATTCTTAAAACGCCGAATTTTCATTTGTGCGAAATTGCAAATGGCCGAACAAACAATCGACAGAAAGATTTCGGTGCGATTTTTAAAATCAACCAATCACAATTTTATGGATAATTTTTAATTGGTTGATTTTAAAAATCGCGCCGAAATCTTTCTGTCGATTATTTGTTCGGCCATTTGAAATTTCGGTCAAATGAAAGTTCTATCAATTAGAAATTCTGTTAAATGATTTTTTTTCGTTAAATAAAAATTTGACTTAAAAATAATTATGACAAATAAAATTCCATAAAATGAAAATTTTAACTAATGATTTTTAGAACATAATCATGCGTCCCTTAATTTCCTATTCTTAATTTTTACAGAAGATTTTTATTGCCAGCGCTGACATTAGAAACCAATCACAATTTTATGGATAATTTTTGATTAGTTTATTTTAAAACTCGCGCCGAAATCTTTCTGTCAATTGTTTGTTCGATTTTTCTTGGCATATTTCTAATCAGGGACTTTCACGAAATCAAAACAAAAGTCAAAACACTTTTGCTTTTGATTCTGATCAGGATATCGGAATCAGAAGTCAAGTTTGTTTTGATTCCGAAATCAGAATCTAAAGTTAACTTTGTTTTGATTCTTTTTTGTGAGCGAAACGAAAATAGAATCTACTTTTAATTCTGTTTGGTGAACAAAACGAAAGTAGAATATACTTTTAATTTCATTTGTTGAACGAAACGAAAGAGAAATGTACCTTTGATTCCGTTCGGTGAACAAAATGAAAATCTGTTAGATTACTTCTGGTTTTCTGATTGAAACAAGTGAATTCGAATTTTTTATTATGAAAAGTAATCTGACGGATTTTAGTTTCGTTCACCGAAAGGAATCAAAAGTATATTCTCCTTTTGTTTCGTTCAATAAACTGAATCAAAAGTACATTCTTTTTTCATAAAAGTCAGGGAATTTCCATATTTTTCTGGTTAATTAATTAAAATAACTTACTTCCGGTTCTCTAATTGAATCAAGTCATATGTTTTAAGTTATTACGTTTTAAGTCTCAAGTTTAGAGTCACATAGCGACTACATATTCGAATTCAGGAGCAAATTTTACATAAGAAATGACAGTGAAATGCCGCAGACCAAAATCTTTATAAATAAATAAATTTAATAAAAAAAATGTTTGACAGATTTTTTATTTTCCACCACTGTGCCACCGTGAGACAGAAGAAATTTTTTGAGGTTATTTATCCGTCTAGTCGGACCTTTAGTCATTTCGCTGAATTTGTTAAATTTTCCTGACATTTTATTAACTTGTGGCTATCATTGAAAAATGAGAAAAATGACAGCAGCCGATACCCACCCAAAGTTCCTGATGATCTTCCTGTCTGGATGACAAGATAAAATGATGTCCAGTAATGCATAATGTGCCTTCTAAACTACATCCTTTTCTATTCTCGTCAGTTTTATCTGTCAAGATGACATTGTCGACTTGATGAACTAAAATAATCTCGGCAAACTCCATTCTTTTTATATATCTCAAATATTATTTTGACAGTTTAAAATAACCTCACTGTATTCAATAGCTGGTTAAATATTGTATATATATATATATTTTTTTTTTTTTATTGACAATGAATACAACACTTTAACGAGGCTCTAAAAATTTCAATAATTTTAAACTGACGTATTCAAAACACATTTTTATAAAAATTAATTAATTATTAAAAATGTTAATTTTACAGAACTTTGTGGTTAATTATTTTGATAATATTTATGTCAAGCACAATTGTCAGTTTCTTAAGGTCTAAACACAATAACATAACTCACTGACATAAAGGAGCCTTCACAACTGGGTCAGGACAAAATTCACAAATATTGCTAGTCCGCAATCCGCATCGTGGTCCGCATTTAGATTTAAGGTTGTGTTCACAATAGACCAAAAACATGAACGAAAAAGTAATATGTATCCATTCTATCGCTTTTCTAACAATAAGTTGAAAGTGAGTTTTCTAACCTGGAAACCATGTTAGAAAATTGTTTTTTCGCCATTGACATGAAAAAGTGTCTTTTTTATGCCTGTTTTGGGCATATAAAGTAGCACTTTTTAAGGCAGTTTGGGCCAACTGCCAAAAAAAGACTTTTTTAGGCAGAAAACTGCCCTATAAAGTCTTTTTTAGGCAGTTGTTAATTTTTGCATAATTTTTGTTTTGCTTTTATTTTATTTATCAATTTTTATTATTATATACTATTTCATATATATTATATTATATATTATATATATATATATATATATATATAAATATGTCAACAAGCGTTTTCCATGTTTAAAATATGAATAAAATTGATGAAAGTGGAAACAAATTTTCTTCCCCATAATGGAGCGGTCACACCTCGCCAGCAGGAGCAGTTGCCAATGGCAACCGTGTAAGAGTATGAGAGATGGAAAATCTTCTATCTCTCTTACTCTTACACGGTTGCCATGGGCAACTGCTCCTGCAGCCGAGGTGTGACCGCTCTATAAGAATAACATTGTGTCGTCTGTTTGTTGTCCCCCAGGCCACTGACGTCATGTCTTGAACTCGAAATATCTCGATGAACTGACACAGCCTAATGGAGCGGTCACACCTCGGCTGCAGGAGCAGTTGCCCATGGCAACCGTGTAAGAGTAAGAGAGATAGAAGATTTTCCATCTCTCTTACTCTTACACGGTTGCCATTGGCAACTGCTCCTGCAGGCGAGGTGTGACCGCTCCATAATCCCAATACTGTCCCTCTATGCGACGCTCCCTGAACTTGGAAGCGGCCGCAGTATCTGATTTGAATGTCCATTAGTGACCATTCTTATATCTTTATAGTTAATGTAGAAAATGTCATGTTTTATTATGAATATATAAATATAAATAATTCAAATTTTTATATAAATTTATTTCAACGTAAATAAATATCAACAAAAAGTACGTTAAATAATGGATTTATTTTATACAGTTAATAGAAGATCTCTAACAAAATCACTTTCGCAGCATGAAAGGTAATAGTAAAATTTTCTTATTGCATATTGTAATTTTATATTATTATTACGAATAAAACTTTATGTACGCCAGTTCTTCAAGCTTTATATTTTTAAATTTTTATAAAAATATCATTAGTCTAAGCTTTCAAAATTAAATATCAAAACCGGATGTTCATATTAAGAAATTTTTTTTTATATATTGTTCCCAAAACAGCTTTTTATATTTATTATTATTATTATTATTATGAGAGCAAAATATAAACATTAGAAGCAAAAATGAGTTAAAATTTTGAATATTTCTTCTGTTTAGAATAGATGCTGTTTAAGAAATAAATGTCAATTAAATGAATATCTTTGGGAATCAAGAGGTTTTTTATAATGTTAATTGATTAAATATTTAATCAATTAATAACTGCAATTAACATTGCCGTCTATTTTCTAACAAAATATAATAATCTATCAACATTGATATTCGTATAATATATTTTTTGTAATTAATTTATAAAGTTTTCTATATTTATCTTGGAAATTGAATTTTAAAGTTTAGGTATACACAGAAAACATATTGTTTTTTCATCTGGGTCAAACTATAGCTAAAAAATCAAAGTTGTTCCCTTGTTCTTTGATTCTGATGAAACTGTGAGAAATGGTAGATGAACACACTTTTGAAGTAGAAAATTTGACATTTCTATTGTAAAATGTCAATTTAAGACTTATTAAACTAAAATAATATGTTATGTAGATGATAAAAAAATTTTAACTTTATAAAAATCGATTATTTAAACAAATATAAGAAATTGAAACTAACAATTCTATTACGGCGCGTTTGAATCAGTTTCTGTGCGTCAATTACGGTGACCAAAATTACGGGCTTTTCGAAGATACTTTGAAGCCAATTGAAATCTTAAAAATATTTCAATTACGGTGAGGGGGAACATTTATCTCAAATAATTAAATTAATAATAATTACACAGGCACACAAAAATAAGTGTTTTGGCCGAGACACTACACTAGTGTATTCCCATGTATTTTTCGCCGGTGAATCCGAATCCGAAGTCAGAATAGTCAGATTGACTCTTGTTCTTGAGTTATACTGAAAAAAACGACTCAAAAAAATTAATAAAAATAAAAAAAAAATTTTTTTGTCACTACAATAGTATATTTTCATGTATTATTTCCCGCTGAATCCGAATATGAATTCAGAATTGTCCAATGGGCTCGAAATTTTGAGATAAACTCAGAAAAACTGCTCAAAAAAAAGAATTAAAATCAAAAATCGGTCAAGGGCGAGTTGCACTCGCATTAAAAGCGAGGGTTCCGTACCGTTCCGTTCCCCTCCTAAAATTTGAGAGGATTAAAGTGTGAAGGGCGATGGAAAAATTCCAATTTTGCTTAATTTTTTCTGTACTGTGAGCATGAAAACACATAGATCGAAAATTATCAGTTTTTCCTTGAAAACGCAATGGTAATCAACTCTCTAAATTTGAATCAGCGATAAGTATACCACTGGTACCAATCAGCGGATATACGCTGAAAAATCAGTGAAATTACACTAATTCATCAGTGCATATAAGCTGATTAGAATCAGTGGTATACTTATAGCTGAGAATCAGCGAGATTCCGCTGATTCAAATTTAGAGAGAACTTCAATCGTTTTCGCTATATTTTTTTTGTAATCTACACGTAAAAATGTATAAATTTTAATCCCATAATATAAAATTTTCTTCTTTTTAGGGTTCCGTACCCGAAGGGGGAATCCTATTAATGAGACTAGTGAAGCAAGGCATATACCCCCCCCCCTCTAGCGGCCACATGAATTTATCTAGAGGGCTGAAATTTGGTACACATATGTATTTTGGCGTGTAGATTACAGGAAAAATATAGCGAATCTCATAGGATTTGATTATCATAGCGTTGTCAAGGAAAAACCATGAATTTTTACGAAAAATCCCTAAAAATGACTATGTACCACCCTCCCGGAGGCCACATCTTTATACATAGAGAGCTAAAATTTAGTTTTTTTTACTTATGTATTTTTACGTGAAAATTACAGGAAAAATATAGCGAACATGGTTCGGATCGATTTACATAGCGTTGTCAAGGAAAATCAAAAATTTTGAAAAAAAGCGTTTAATCCTCCTACTCTCTAAATTTGAATCAGCGAAATCTCGCTGATTCTCAGCTATAAGTATACCACTGATTCCAATCAGCGTATATGCACTGATAAATTAGTGAAAATTCACTGATTTTTCAGCGTATATACGCTAATTGGTAACAGTGGTATACTTATCGCTGATTCAAATTTAGAGAGTAATACACACACTATTTGAGGTCGGTAATCCTGGAAGTACCACTTGAACAAAAAAAGTTTTTACATATGCCAACAATTAGGGCTCAATTAGGGCTAATTTAGTACCACCTGCAAAAATTTAGGGCTCTTTACCTATTTAAAATAACCCTTGGTACTGCTAGCTTGACGTCAAGCTGGAAGTACCACACTATAGAACCTAAATATTTTAAAAAAAAACTACCCCAGAGTAGTTCAAACTTAATTATTTCAAAAAATAAATACTTAAGAATTTAGGGCTATTAAATAGAACTATATTGGGTGTTTAAAAACGATTCACCAACTTTGAAAACTACCCCAGAGTAGTTCAAACTTAATTTTTTTAAAAAATAAATACTTAGGAATTTAGGGCTAATTTAGGGCTCTTAAATGGAACTATTTAAAATCATACAGGAATTAAGAGCTAAATTATTTAATTTGAAAAAACTAAGTTTGAACTTCTCTGGGGTAGTTTTTAAAGTTGGTGTATCTTTTTTGAATGACCAATTTAATTATATTTTAGAGCCCTAAATTAGCTTTAAATGCGTATGTGTTTGTTTTTGAAAATATTGAGTTTTAACTAGTTGAGGGTAGTTTTTGTGGTTGACTATCTATCAGTTACTTGGCTGGGGTGGTTGGGGTGCACTTTTAAAAAGTGAATTTAGTGCTATTAAAGAACCCTAATTTAGCTCTTAATTCCTATATGATTATTGTTTGATTAAATCGAGTTTAAATAATTGTGGATGTTTTTTTGTAATTGGGGGTGGTTTTTAAAAATTTTAAATAGTCCCAGTTGAGAGCTCTAAATGAGCCCTAAATTCCTATGGAAGAAATTTTGAAAAATATTTAGGTTCTATAGTGTGGTACTTCCCAAAAATATTTATGAATAATTTGAATGTTTTATGCAATTTAAATATTGTTCTTTAGTGAAATGGGACTTTTTACATCTATATTCACTGCAAATGAAATTAATTACCTAGTTTATTTCAATTATTTTTAAAATAATTTAATTTTATCTCAATTATCTAAAGTTAATCTTTTATTATCTTATCTATTACTTTATTTTATGTAAATTATCTTACTTTTTCACATTTCATAATTTAAATAAAAAATATTCTGAAAAATATGTTTTTTCTTCAATTTTGAACCGAGGAGCACAACTCATAACATTTTTTGAAAAGTGATAAAACCAGTATTTTCGAAAAACAAGCAAAATTTCTATTTCCGTTTTGAATTTTAATTAATTGATCATGCCAAAAGTTGTATTTGTAGTATTTGTACGTGTACTAAAAGTTCTATGTAATACAATAGTCAAAAAAATTTATAGAATAGAATTGATCTAAAAACAAAACCCGGTACACAACTCGCCACTCTCCCCTAGCAATAAGAGTTATTTTTTAAAACGCGCCGTAATTGATGCACTTACTCTATGGCCTTCAAAAAATTTTGGTTTTCCAAATTTTGAAAACACTATATCTCTCTGATAAAAAATAAATGCAGTTTAATTATATTTTTTAGAAATTTTTTTGTAATGTATTGGAATAAATGAACCTGAATGTTTTAAAAACAGTCCTCGGATTGTACGTGACTTTTTTAGTACAAGCTATAGCTTTTGCAAAATTCAATTATTTTGAAAATTTTAATCTAAAAAGTCTTAGCAAAATTAATTATTTTCAATAATTTTAATGAAATTCATCGAAAACCCAATTATTAAAAAAAACTTTTAATTAGAAATTCTTTAAAATTCAAGTATTGCCTAAAATTTTTTAAACCCGTTTTTAGAAATTAAAACATATTTCAATTCAAAATCTTCTGAAATTTGATTAATTCTAAAAATCTTGACTGTAGCTCTTCTGAAATATAATTATTTTTTAAATTCTTCTCCCAGTTAAGGAAAAGCACCACCTCCAATTTTGCCCCACTTAAATTTAAGTTATTAATAAACGAGGTTATATTTTTTTTCTTACACCATTTGGGTCCTAAAAACATATAAGGTGGTCAATAAAAGAAAATTTTAATTTTTGACCATTTTAGAATTTTTACTTTTTTGAAAATCCATGCGAGAGATTCTTAAGAATCATTAGAAAAGCGTGGAAAAAAATTGTCGATAGAAAATAGTAACCATTGTGAAAGAAAATAGATACCTATTTAAAATATTAATTTTTTTAAGACTTTAATTTCTAAAATGGTTAAAAATTAAAATTGTATTTTTTTGACTATCCTGTATATTTTTAGGACACAAATGATTAAATAAAAAAAATATAACCTTCCTTATAAATTTAAATTAAAATCCGAGAAACGTCAAGTCTCTCAATTGTCATAAACACTTTTTATGGGGTATCTATTTATATTTTTCCTTTTAATTATTAAAAGTGAGAATATTTTTAAAAAAATTTCCAAAGTATTAAGAAGTTTATCTAGTTTTAGGAAAAGATAAAAATTGCAACAGTTTAATGAAAAGTTTTAAATTTTAGTTTGTACGAAGGTCAATCTTTGTGCACAATATCAAGTCGCAATGTCATTGCATTTACATCAACTACAGAACTAGAGGATACAATTGGAAAAACATGGGGATCTCATGTATATGTATGCGACATCAATATGCCATGGCATACACATAAGTGAGTATCTGAACATGATAATTTCTTTATATTTAATGATATTTAAATTTACATGCTGCAATAAACATTAAATTATTATATAAGAACAAGTTTTTTAAGGACCAGAAACTTTCTATTATATCAAGATGATAATAATAACATAAATTTGTTTAATTAATTATAAAAAATTTTTTCTTATATGTGATTAAGTATCAGCAAATTTTTTAAAGACGCATGAATAAGTTCTACAAATTAATTTATTGCAATTTTCATTTGTCAGAATTTCATTTTCCAGAATTTACTTTTAGCCGAATTTTTATTTTTACGAATTATTTAACAGAAACTACATATATTTTTTTAAATTTTTATTTAAATGAATTTTTATATTACAGACTTTATTTCACTGAATTTTAATTCATCAGAATTATTATATGTTTAAATTTTTATTTGACAAAATATAGTTGAATTAAAAAAATTTTTATTTTACACAAAAGACTTTTAGAAATAATTAATTTTCTAGTAGTGTGATTCCAGGTGAGATTTTGACTTTTTCGAAGTAGGTTAACCGATTGCAATGAAACTTTGGAATTTTGTTATATATAGTAAGAATAATCTTTAACGTAAATTGCAGCTTAAAATATTTGTTAGTTTACGAGATTTGCAATAATAACAAAAAATTTTAAACTGTTATATCTTCCGTTCTAATAATCGGATTGAGGTATACTTTTTTTTAAATTGTCAAGGAAAATGAGAGGAATAAATCTCTTTCAGAACATTTTTTTATAATTTTACAACTAAAAAAATTATTAAATAATAATTGAATAAATTTCACGCGACAATCTAAAATTCAATCACTTAAACGCTAAAATAATCTTACCTTTGTTTTCTTTAATGTTCCAAAGAAATCCAATTGTAAATGCAAGTTTAACTTGGTTAATTTTAATAATTTACGAGTTTAAACAATTGCGATTTCTGCTAGTTGACGTGCAGACGACATTGCGCACGCAGCATTCTCACGTAGCCAATTTAGTCCACGAATCACGTCAGCAGGTTACGTGAGAATAATCGAGGTTCCACTGTAGACCTCAATCCGATTATTAGAACGGAAGATATAGCAGTGGGAATTTGTTCCGGCACTCCATGCATTTAACATTGATTTTGTTCTACCTTTGATTTGTTCAAACAAGTTTAAGTTCATTTTTAGCCAAGTTCTATGCTGTGAATATATATGATTTGTTCTGCTTTTAAAAGCAACTTTTTAACCTTTTTTTTGAACCGTTCGTTCTACCACGTGCTCTCCGAGGTGTTCTTCGAAGTTTGTTCTAATCCTGATTTTTCTGAGTTTTGTTTTATAAGCGAGTGTGACTTCTACCCTCGCACATCGTAACCTTTTTGTGAAATATCCAAATTTTTTGTGTCACCCTGAGGACCCATTTTATTATTTTATTCTGTTCCGTGTGACTTTTCATGAATTTTACTGGTTGTATCTGAGTTTGAAGTGACTCACTGTTATCGTGCTGTGACCTCTGCTGTTTATAATGCTTTGTGGAACTATATAAACATCTTTTGTATATCTGCGGTGTCACCTTGCAGTGTTGTGGTCTTCGACAGTTTAATATCTTAACTGTATACCCCTTGTTCAAGGTTTAAGTATATTTATGGTGTTTGAAACCCGGTGTGAACATTTTCCCGCCTTACAACTACAATTGATGTTTCTCACTCAATCTGAGTTTGTGTCTCATTGTTTTACCCAGAGGGAGGTCAACTTCAGTAGTCTTACTTTAACCTTCCATTGTTTTATTTTTCTGATAGAAAGTTAGAAATTGTTATTGAGATCAATTATATATATATATATATCAATGTATGCCCTATACGTTTTGAATTCAATTCTCGCATGTATTCTTCTCATGGGAATTTATTATGATTCATGAATGAATTCAACGTATGGCAAATTCATTTTTCTTGTACTCGACTTATCAGTTTCCAAACGAACAATATATTTGATTCAATCTCAAATTTCCTATAAGCTGGATTTACTTTGCTGTTGTCTAACCTGTATTACCAACAGTGTAGCATATAGTGTATTCTAGAACTTTTTCGTCTTCTAACTTTATTGTTCTGACAGTTGGCTAAGCCTCAAGTCATTTAAGAAGAAGAAGAAGATATATCAGTTTAAAATGTTTTGTTATTATATATAACAAAATTCCAAAGTTTCATTGCAATCGGTTAATCTACTCCGAAAAAGTCAAAATCTCACCTGGAATCGCACTGTAGAATTTTTTTTTCTTCGAATTTATATTCTTGAACTGATTGTAACTGATTGTCCATTCAATTCCAACCAGTTAGCATCTCTACTGACCTTAGTTTGTCTGGTAAAAATCGCAAATTGTGTTTTGGGGATTGAAATTTCCAGTCCGTATTTCAGGAGCCAAGTTTCAATACAGCAAAACGATTCCTCCAAAAGAGTTTTAGATTCATTCAAATCTTTCCCCTTAACATATAATAATATATCATCGGCATACATAATAATCAAAACGTTTTGAGGTAGACAATTTTTAATGTTTCTCAGGGCTCAACTAACTAGGAGCGGTGAGAGAACTCGCTCTGAGGAACACCTATGCCTCAAATTTTATCTCTGTTCCTGTTTAGATTGAAATGTAAATATCTCTTGAGTATAAGACATCTAACAAAATTAACCAGACGTCCAGGAGCGTTAAGGTAGACAAGTTCTTCCAATATCTTGATAGACTTGATCGCTCCCTTTATATCAAGGGCTATGGCTGCGAGATGACCTTTTTGACCTATAGATAGGTCAAAACCCTCTGCTCCCCTTTGGGAAAAACTTTACTAGAGTATCTCTCCACTTCTCGGGGTACACTCCAGACATGAACATATCGTTCTAGACTTCAAGTAACTTTTTTTAAGTGTTGTAAGGAATTTTCTGATTATGTCATAGGTTATAAAATCGAGGCTGGGTGCCCATGTAACATTTGAAGAGTTCAAGGCAGTATTAAATTTGTTAAATGAAAAAGGATCATTTAAAGGATGCTGCTCATCCACATCCAAAAGTGGCTCAAAAGCAGTAAGCTTAAGTCTAGGGAACTAAATAAACAATAAACCTCCAAAATCAATTACTGTGCACCACTTTGTTTTATAATTGTTTATATCATTTATTGCAAAAATCCGTATGTATCCACAAACAAGCTAAAGTTAAAGCAAGAACAAATGCACCTGTGTGAATATAGGGCAAACAAGGCTCAAGCACATAAAACCAAAAAGAGAAAAAATCTCCCTGTTAATTCAATTTAAATTTGTATCTTACCGTTTTCAAGTTATTATTAAATGCAGTATTGAATTGTACTTAGGAAAGATGAATATTAAGGAAATTAGATGGAATGATCCTTAGATTTCAATCGAATGTTAATTCTCCGTTCCGGTAATTTTGCGCTGTATAGATACTTTATCAAGCACGTTCTGCCGGCTCCTATTTAAGTCCACAGCTCCTCCGTTTAACCTCTTTCCGACTAAACACACAGATTTCAACGTATATATTGCAAAAATAATGTCAATTAGGTACTTCAATTAATTAACTAAGATCATCAAATTAGATGTTACACTCAGAGTTAAAGTTTTAAAACAAGTTTAATAGGTTATAGCGAGAGTTTTTCCCGCCTCATATATACAAGTATGTAGCTCAAAGGTTCACATAAAACTCAGGTTTAGGTATATACCAAAAATTTGGCTATAACACCAGCATGGAAATAAAACAAACTTTAGATATACAGGGCGTCGCGTCCACGGTATGCAAAGGCAAAGTCATCACATAGAGCATCCAGTATTAATCAACCAGGCATGCGTTGTATGCAGTTTTCTCGTTACACCTTGTCGACAGGTCAGCCATATGTAATTGCGTGCAGCACTGCTTCGGGCGGGAAGATTCAAATTGGGATAAGGTTGGGATTTAAAGCTCATTAAAAGATCCCCTCAGGCTAAAACGAATCAGGGTAATCAATACCTGCACCCCTCCATTAACAATTGTATATCAATTAATTATTCAAAATATGCCTTTTAATACTCAAACTTCACATTATTCATAAGTAGAAGATGTATTATCCCCATTTCGCTCTTCTCATCCTTTGTGCTCTTTTTATTATCTATATTTCTGGTCTTTACCTATAATTATCCAAACCAAGTTAAGAATCAGAAGCCCCCTTCTGAATTCACACTGGTCCGGCCAAAAATGAACAACACAAATCAGCAAATCCAATCACACACTCCACACACATCCCTCACAAGACCATTCCCTGTATTTGTCTAAAAAATCTGTGCGGACATGACAAATAATTCTGCCGTAGTAGAGAAGACAAAACCAGGAAGAGAACATCCAAAAGAAACATCAATCTCTGGAATCACAATCCCGCTCCAGCAGTATTGATACTACCCATGATAGATCCATCCGTATAGGCGACCGTAGCATCAGGAAAAAACTCTCAAGATGCATACCAAGATCGTTTTCTGGAGAATCAGAGGACTTTAACTCATTACCCAATTTCAACTCAACTGTAATGTGGAAGGAGACAGCTGCCCACTCAAGATCGAAATATAGTGGTTTTCTTGTGGTGAAACAATATTCTAATGTTGGAATCATATAGGAGTAAGGCTGATATAGTCCAGCCTTCACTACGTGCTTTTTAGGGTTGCGTTGTTGACCAATTCTCCTTTGAAGCACTTTCAATTTTGGGTAAAGAGGGTTTTCGGTCCACACACAATTACGGGCAATAAATCTTCTGGATAAATGTCTTCTTCTTATACTCAAAGGGAGTTCACCCGACTCAATTAATAAAAAATATATAGGTGTGCTTGATATGCATCCGTGAACCACTCTAAGACCAGAATTTTGGATCCTATTGTGGGTGGCAAGAAGACTCTTAATCGCGCTCAGGAACAGAACCGCCCCCCACTCAAGTGCTGAAATACACCCAGAAGAACTTCAGAAGAGACACCCCACGAGACACATGTAA